GAACTCGTTTTGGCACAGAAATGATTTCGGCTTAAAAATCGTCTTCTCGCTCAAGTAAGCTACATACGCACTTGCTTGTTCTCACACACGCAACCGCATTCTTTTTTAAGATTTTTACGCTCTCAACTTTGTGCGAACGCGCTGAGAGCGAGAGAGGATAGAGAGATCGTTTGTCAGCGGTTAGAGAGGGATGGGGATTCTCGCTTTTTCGTGACGGTCATGAATCGGTTTTACTCCGTCCCCGAAAATCCATAACCCGCCTAAAGAAATTTCACTTTAAAAATTCATTTTTTTTTTTGAGCTTTTCGTATAGATATATGTTTTAAGATTGGGCTCAACAAATTTCAGATCAAAATTTAAAAAAGTACAAGAGTTACAGGCCTTTACATGGAGCACATGTCGAGCACCGGCCATTTGAACCAAAACTTTAAACGCGTTTATCTCGGAACCACGTTTTCGGACCTTACGGAAGTAATTGAAGGCGTTGGGGTTAACCAATCGTCATCAAATTTTTTTTTAAATGTTCCTAATTGTTTTCTTTAACTAATGAACTAGGATTATCCAAAAATATTGAAAACTGTTTAATTGAGAAAATAATTAGTGAGAAAAAAAGGGTCAAAATCGAAATGTTATTTTCAAAAGCTAATAACTTTTGCAATTTTCATTTTCTTTCTGATCCTAGTTAATTTTATGCACATTACTGTACACTTTAAGATTCTTTTTGGTTTTTGTGTTTCCGATTACCCGTTTTGGCTGAATCACTTCCGTAAGCAGGACACCTTTTTTGAAATTTTTTTTCGCAAAATTAATATGTTCTCAAATAAAGTTAAAAATTTCAGCCTTTTATCTTTAACCGTTTTCTCAAAACAATTTTTTTTTAAAAGTGCCATTTTTCGGCCTTACAAGGTGAGAACCTGCCAAAAAAAAGTTGTATTTGTGTTTTTTTTTTTGCGACGAAATATGTAATTTAATTTTATTAAGTTAAATTACATATTATTGTTTAACTTTTGAAGAGTATTAAAGAAAAATGTTAATGCAAAATAATAAAAATAAGCCTGTGATAGTTAATCTTCAGAAGCGCCTAGAAAAAGTTTTTTGGCGGTGTACAACATAACTCGTTAACCCTTTCATGCCCAAATTAAACTTGGGACACGTAGAAAATACAGTGGGAAGCAAAAGTGATTCCATGTTCAGAATATGCATGTTCAAGCGCTCATAAAACGTAAGCCAATGAACCAAATGAAACAAACTTTTTTTTTCTCGATTACTTATTCAATTTGTAAGAAATAGACTTAAATACTACAATAATACAAGAAAAAATGTAAGAGATAGAAAACAAAAACAAAAACAGAAGGCATGTACTCAGTTTTGCACCTTTTATGAAAAAATCTAAAAAAAATATTAAATTAATATTTGGTCCAAAGACCCTTATTGTCTATTACGTTTTTTATGCGCTTCGGCATACTCTTAACTAAGTTCTCAATAATTTCTTTCGGAATTTGGTTCCATTCAATCTCCACGCGTCTCCAGAGATCGTCCAGGTTGCTTGGGGCCGATTGATATTGCCCGAGCCGTCGCTTCACAATTGACCATAAGTTTTCAATTGGATTGAGGTAGGGACTTTGAGCTGGCCACTCCATGACCTTAAAATTTTGTTTTGCCAACCATTCCTTAACTATTTTTGCAAATAAGTAATCGAGAAAAAAAGTTTGTTTCATTTGGTTCATTGGTTTACGTTTTATGAGCGCTTGAACATGCATATTCTGAACATGGAATCACTTTTGCTCCCCACTGTATTTAACTCCATAAATGATCAATAGCCCCAAGTAACGTTCATTTCAATTTTCGATACTCTAAGTCCTTTGGTATGTCCTTATTGCGATGTTGCCTATAGGCAACATATGTCCATCCATATATTATATATAAATAAGTACGTACGTATAAGTAATATTAGCTTTACAAGAAAATACAATTATCAGGCAGGCTCCGGTTTTCACTTTTTTTTCTCGTTTTCGTTTTTGGGCGAAAACGTACGTTTTCGTTTTAGGTGCTCCGGTTTTCACAAACTTTTTGTCATCGTTTCGTTATCGGAATGGTTCAAGCAGCTGACTTTTTTTGGTCAAAAGTAAACAACGCGAAAAAATGACTTTTATATTTTCAATTGCCTGTTTTGAAGCCAAAAGAAGGCAGAAATTGATTGATTTAAGAAAATCGAGACATCTTAGATGCAAAACATGTGTTTTTAATATGTCTGACGATCGGTAAATTAAGTTGTCTTACTTACATTTTCAAATATTTCAAATAAGCCAACACCAGAAATCAGCTGTTTTCCATAATAAGGGGCTGCCACGTTTTTTGCAGTTTTCATTCCACTATTCTTAACAACTTTCTTACTGCACTGTTACCATTTAAGAAAGAAAATTAATCATATTTATTTATAAGAAGCTTATTTAACTATTCTTTACAAATATTTTTTTCTTCGTTTTCATTTTATAAGTATTTTTAAGTGGTTGTTTCGTTCCACTACAAGTACGGCAGCATTGACGATAACTTTTGGCAATGGATTTATCGGCCCCTCAGCAAAACGAAAGTTGTTGTTGCCGCAAATATTTTATGTATGAAATCAAGATGGGTTCAGAAAATAATTATTTAAAAAATAAATACGAATTAGATTGACCTACTGATGATGTGAAATGAACATCGATAGACCAGGGAGTCAACTATTTTTTTCCTTTTGCAATTAAGACCCGTTTTGATGTAGAAAAAGGCATTTACTTTTCATTTCGACAAAAAAACTTGCCCGTTTATGAAAACGAAAAAATCTTGTGTTGAAAACGAAAGAATCTTGTGAAAGTGAAAACCGGAGCCTGCCTGTATGAGATTTTTATTAACAATCTTTATTTTTCTGTGTTAGTATTTGGGTTTGAGCACAATTGGGCATAAAATTTTAACATTTTGACCTGGGAAAGCCTTTAGTACACATTCTACATCTACGTTTTGAGTCCCACTGAACGCAGTGACTAATTTGTTCGTATCTTATTGCCTTTGCTGGAGCCATAATATAAGACGTCTTTGGAAATAAAGATTTTGGTGATTCAACCCCTTTGGAAGAAGCTGAAGAACTTTGCTAAACAAGATTAGTTGATGAGCTTGGAGAGTTAAAAGTTTATAAAGCAAATGCAGGCCGTCCTCTTTTTGGGATTGAGCAATATTAGCATTAGCAATATCTAGTTCAAAACTTATAAGTGGCATGTGTTTTGTTCTTTTTAAATGATTGCTTATGATCTCCGCGGTATAGTAGCCAAATATTCAACACTGTCACATTTATACACCAATAAACGCCATTCGCATGTACCATTTTTTTGAGCGATGTTTTACTTTGTATAATTCTAATAGCATACATATTTGATAGACCATAACCATGCTTTTTTCATTGCGGCACCAACGCAAGCACTCAGAAATTGGTGCATCAGCAATATAATTTGAAATAAGCTGAACACATTTATTATCATACCAGCGACACGAGATCAAGTTATAGTTGCTTCGACCTTTATGTCAAAAGGTCCCCTGCCTTTGCCAGCTAACTGTTTTTCATTAAGAAGATTGCAATTTTTTAGACGGTTATTGCGAATTGTGCCAACTGCTAAGATACCCAATTACTTTGATGCTATCATTAGGCTTACTCAAATAAACCAGTTATCAAAGATAGTTTAAAGTTTTGATTGACAGTAATGTTTGAAGCTAAATGCAAAACAATATATGAAGACAATCCAAGTCCATAAGACTTACAGGTTCCGTCTCCAACGTAAAGGCAAAAATCATACATAATGCCAGACACCCCAGCTTTAGAAAACATTTTAAAGGTCCACTCGTGCGGTTTTTTAGGCAGATACTGCTTTAAACTATGATGATCTAAAATATAAACTAAATTAAAAAACTCATATAATGCATAAATAAATTTAACTATTTTTTACTTTTGAAAGAAATCATCTGTTCATCACAGCTTTGATATTCCTCTTGTGATATTTTATGAAACTTCCCTTTTAATCCCTTCGGACACATGCCTAAATAAGCACAAACAAATTTATACTTGCGAACCTCTTATGACCAATGTTGCCGGTAGGCAACATCTACTTTTAAAAAAATCCACACTCTTTACAAAACAATTTTCAAGCCCAACTTTATACTTTTATCATAGTCTTACCTATTTTAAAGAATTGTACGTACTTTTTTGTTTAATATTTGTCACTAATTTTAGTTAATGGCACTATTTTCAAGGGCACTTTTTGGTAAAATTTTTCGGCAGCTGTGGTGGTATCGAAGCATTAGCGATAACTCAGCACGCGCTGCACCTGCATTCGCAAAAACTACAAAAAATGAAAGAACATTAATAAGAGGAACTCCCCATAAAAAAAAGTCAACAGAATCGTAACCGAAATTTAAATGTAAAGTCAATGTTGCCTATAGGCAACAGTGGGCATGAAAGGGTTAACGGATCATACCCGCGTATTTATGTGGACAATTTGTGTTAAAAATTTGAATAGGATCGGTTCAGTTGATTTTGAGTTCAGATGCTCACCGACTTTTAAAATAGAGTTTTCGGAAAAATCTATTTAAATTATTTTTTTATACGTCAAAATTCGGCCAATTTCGGTCGTTTGAAATGCTGTAACTCCGTTAGTTTGACTCTAATTGATTCAAAATTTTAACGACATATTGGTCGCCACTTTTTTAGTAATGTTTAGGCCCCAAGGTAGCCTTTTTAAAAAAGAATAAATTTCCTACCCCATTTTTAGCAAAAGCCCCTAAAGCGCAAGTTTACCAAAGCATAGACATTAGCACCTTTTTTTTCAAATCAATATAACTCTGTATAAGGTTAAAGTTTTGTTCAAGAAAAAGGCGTTTGAGTAAAAATAAATTATTGCATCCAAAGATTTTAATTTTTGGGCTGTACTGTACAACTGTAACTAGACTGTTGATTGTCATTTTTTCTGGCTCACCTGCCGACGGAAAGTGTGCTTTTCTTTCTCCAGTAACCTATCAATCTCATCCGACTTGTAGCGTTGTTCCAATTCTTCAGGCGTCCTACCGAACTTTATTAGATAAGTAAGAAAGTCCCCGCAACTTCGAAAACAAGCAAATCGCGATGTCTGAAGCCGATTTCCTTGACGTCCCAGTCGCTCCCCTGCATCTGATGTTTGTCCGATGGGAATTACGGTTGCTGCATCTGTTCCAGCCACCGCTCCCACCCGCGTATGCGTATGCACTTCCATAAGATGAGTCCGAGTACCTCTAAGCGTGTCACTGTTAATGATGGTGTCGAACCCGTTAGTATTGATTGTAGCGTTTGCAGAAGTGATTTTTCCGTGCGCGACTGTAGTTAATGTTATTCCAGACATTGCTGCCAACGCCTGACGTTGGCGCTTTCTATGCACACGTATTCTTTCGCTGCAGGATAACAACTTTTACACCTATTTGTTGATAATTGTTCAGTGCGTGAATATTTGTAAATATTTTTCGGTTGAGATTTACTTGCTAAAATCAGCACCTGCGAATTGTATGGCCTTAATAGTTTTGATAGCAATATCGCCATCTCCAGTCCGCCATCGGATAATTAACACTTGCTGCACCTACGTTCTGCCTGGCTAAACCAGCATAAACAAAACACGGAAGCACTGAACATTAACGTTAAGCTGTACGTTATTGGAAGGGACCAAATTGGTGAACATTAACAAACAAACAAATTTATTGGTTAACTTTTTTCGTTCGTACGCTGTTTGTTTTACACACATTTAGGGATGTAAGAAAATATTTAAATATCAACTATCGATATTTTTCGGAATCACATCATTTGACTAACACATAGCTTACATTCTGAGGTATAAGCATAATAAGGTAATTCCACAAGCACCATCTCAAAAAAGTGATTGCATTTTTTTTAAAGATGATAAGTTCGAATTCCCAAGATACACGATAATTATTTACAGCTGCGGTCCAGGTAAAAACAGAGTAAAAAACATCTAAAATACGCAAATTACGTGTTTTTTTGGTAATTGTTTACGGCCACTAAAATCCGAATTTGTACTACAAATCACATCTTTAATTGTTGATAACAAAAAAAACGGTGAAAAATGTTCACTCTTCGCCAACGGATTTCAAAGTTTTAGAAAAAAAACACATCGTTTCCATATTTTACTTTATTTTTTTAAGCTGTATTTACCGTGCACCGCACTTATAAACAATTACCGTTTTTTTTTTATAAAACTTCAAAATACGTTGACTGAAAATTTAGCAGCGTTTTTTTGTAATAAACAATCACATATGCGTTTGGTACGTCAAATTTAGACCTCTGTGACCGTATTTGCAATAATCCAGTAGTGAAGTGCCGATTAATTAGGTCGTCTGGGAGCTGCGATTTGCCATACGATTGCAATGGTTGGTCACATATTCACATTACAGTCACATGTTTGTCGTAACAGCATTCGTAGCAGGTTTGATCTAAATAGAAAAAAAGGGGCTTAGTTGCTATAAAAAATCTTTGTCAATTAATCATAAACAATAAAAAAAATTTCAAATTTCAAATGGGTACAATGGAAAAACTGGGGAAGCCGATTTGCTTAAAAATCAATTATGTATTTGACAACATTGATATGTACAAGGCAGTTCTCAGACATATAGTTTACGGAAAATTTCACAATGATGGCTCTCGAAATTTGAAAAACTAAACTTTACTTTTTCTTCCAAAGCACTTTCAGATATTTTTACAACAACTGAAATGTTAACATTTCCTTTTTTGATATTTTGTTGATATTCCAGGAATATTTTTAAAATTTTTCAAATCCATAATGAAAAATAAATAACATATGAACAAATCTTCTTTTTTCATGTAAAAAATATTTTTAAGAATTTATAAGCACACAAGTTGGAACTTGTTTCATGAAGACTGAAGAATATTGAAAATTTGGAGTTATTCGAAGAAGGACATTTATGTAAGTTGCCACATTTTTGCTTAGCGAGACTTTAAGCTATTTTAGCTATGGGTTCTGCAATTGTACCGCAACCAAAGTATTTGCCAAATTGTTATAATATAAAATTGACTTTCATAAAATTAGTATTTGTAGGTATATTAACCTTAATTAAATCTGTTGAAATTAGTTCCAATGTTCCCATTTATTAACATATGTATGTAAACAACAGTATGTAAGAATAACATCAGCAGAGAGAGCTTAGCTATGTTAAGAGAGCTAAGCTATGTTAATGGAGTCGAGTAAAGTTAGCCGTCACAGAAAGATCACCGCGCGGAGTTGCGGTCAATAAATAATTAATATTATTTCAGTAGAAACAATGCGTCCTGGTTTAATGTACATTCGGGTTACGGAAATTCTCCCCTCATCAGGTTATGGGCCCAGGGCCTAGTTTTTTTTTTCTTTGCGTAAAAGTACATATAACCGGTAGTTCATTTTTTCGCCGCGGGATAACGGAAGTTACGCGGAATATATATTTTTCGGTCAACATGAGCGCCATGTATCAGATCGATAAGCTGGATACAGGGAACTATGACACCTGGGTAATCCAAATGCGCAGTGTGCTGGTCCATGCAGAGGTCTGGAAGGTGATCCAGGAGCAGCGGCCAGAAGGAGGTGACGGAATATGGGACGGACTCGATCCGAAGGCATTAGCTATGATAACACTAAGCGTAAAGCAGACACAGCTGGGTTATCTTAAGAACTGTGCCACGGCCGGAAGTGCTTGGCAAAAACTCAGAGATGTTCACCAACCAAGCGGGCCAGTAAGGAAAGTCTCCCTATATAAGAAATTACTCGGAATGCGTATGGCAGAAGGTGGCGACATAATAACGCACATAAATTCGTTCTGCGAGACAGTGGACAAACTCAGTGAAGTTGATATTAAGTTAAGTGACGAATTAACAGCAATAATATTACTGTCGAGTTTGAGCAGAGAATTTGAAAATTTCGTAATAGCCATGGAAACGCGGGATAGTTTGCGCTTGGTAGATGTGTTGAAGGTTAAACTGCTTACAGAAGGAGAAAAAAGGAACACCGAAGCAAGAGAAAGATCGGAAAATGAACAGTTAGCTTTTCATGCTAAGTTGCAGCCAGACCACACAAATAACAGGAGAAGAGACAAATCCAACGTGGAATGTTATAATTGCGGACAGCGTGGACATTATAAGAATCAGTGTAAAAGGCAAGTCAAGAACGAGATGTCAAAGGAGACACAGCAGTACAGGAACAGATCGCATACAGTAGTACCTGTGAGTGACGTACAAGAGCTAGAAGCCTCTAGCTGGTGCCTTGATAGCGGAGCTACGGCTTATATGTGTTGCGTTCGAAGTCTTTTTACCAATTATGTTTCGCAATCGGAAGACATAATTTTGGCCGATAATAACGTAATGAGAGCAGTTGGAAAAGGTGACGTAACCGTAAGAACGGATTACTGCAATCTGACACTGCAGAATGTTTTACACGTTCCAGAAATGAAAGGGAATTTCATGTCTATTAATTGCGCAGTTTCTTGAGGGTGTACTGTGACTTTTTGCAGAGACTATGCGACTGTATACCAAGATGGAGAAAAAGTTTTGAATGCGTGCAGAAAAAACAAATTGTTTATGTTTGAGAGCAAAAGGAATACTTGTCTCAGTGCCATGCAGATCAGTGCAAGTCTATGGCATAACAGATATGAACATTTAAATTATGCCAGTTTGAACAACTTAGTGAAACATTCGATGGTTCAGGGCATTAATGGAGTTAATTTTTTAGAAAAAAGCCAGTGCTTGTCATGCATGAAGAGTAAGATACACACACAGCCGTTTCCAGTATCGGAGAACAGAGCCAAACGTGAGCTGGACCTGATCCATACAGATGTGTGTGGGCCAATGGAAAAGAGATCAATTGGAGGAGCATCATACTTTGTCACATTTATTGATGATAAGACCCGCCGTGTATTTGTGTATTTCATAAAATCCAAAGATGAAATGTACGACAAATTTCTTGTGTTCAAAAACATGGCAGAGAGTCAGCTCGGACGCAAGATAAAAGCAGTACGCAGTGACAATTTGCGTGAGTTTGTTAATAAACGTTTTGACAATTTGTTCCAGGAAAATGGCATTGTACGGCAGTTAACCGTCCCCACAGCCCGCAGCAGAGCGGCGTGGCAGAGCGAGCTAACAGAACGCTAGTAGAAATGGCCAGGAGTTTGCTTATCCACTCAGGAATGCCAGAGAGTGTTTGGGCCGAGGCTGTGATGACAGCTTCTTACATCAGGAATCGGTCACCAACAGCAGCTCTCGTTGGAATCACTCCCTACGAGGCTTGGAGTGGCAGGAAACCCAATGTGAGTCATTTGCGTGTTTTTGAATCATTGGCAGCAGTAGGACTAGATAAAGGTCACCGCGGTAAATTCAAGGCCAAAGGAAAGGAATATCGATTCGTTGGATATTCACTGGAGTGCAAATGGTACAGGTTGTACGATCAGGTGACGCAGCAAGTTGTTGTTAAACGCGACGTATTATTCAAGGAAATTCAAGCAGATGAGCCTAAGATTTTTGAATTTCCAGCAGTACAAGTTTCGACAAGGGATCCAGCAAACGTACTTAAAGTGGAGTCCCAGCGCGATGGGGATGAGCAGCAGAAAGACAGCGAATATGAAGTACTCAGAGGAAACCCCAGCGCAGATGAAAACGGAGGAGGCAAAGATCGCGAGCAGCATGATACGGAGCAGGAACACCCTGAAGGAGAGGCAGGCAGAATCGGGCCAGGGAGGCCTAGAATCATTCGGACCGGCAAGTCGGGGCGACCAAGGAAGGAATATAACCTTGTCAATGCTATGACCAGTGCAGAGATTCCACTTCCGCAAAGCTGCGATGAAGCGCTACGTAGCCAGCAAGCTACATTTTGGAAGGCAGCCATGAAGTCGGAGTATGACTCGCTCGTGGCAAATAACACATGGACCCTAAGCGAGTTGCCCAAGGGACAAAAGGCAATCGGAAGTCGATGGGTTTTCACCATAAAAAGAGACAGCGAAGGCAATCCCGAGCGGTATAAATCGCGTCTAGTAGCGAAGGGTTGTTCCCAGAAATACGGAATTAATTATGGAGAAACTTTCTCACCGGTGTGTCACTATGAGACAATCCGCCTAGTATTGGCGCTGTCAGCGGAGTTGAGGATGCACTTACACCAGATGGATGTGTGCACAGCCTACCTCAATAGTGATTTGAGCGAGACTGTGTATATGAAGCAGCCAAAGAATTTCGAGGATGAAGCATGCAAGAACAAGGTGCTGAGGCTCAACAAGGCAATATATGGGCTAAAACTGGCAGGCCGCCAGTGGAACGCTACCTTGGATGCAGCACTTCGAGAAATCGGATTCGTACCCTGTCAATATGAAGCATGCTTGTAGAAGCAGGACATAAATGGTAACTTGTGTCTTGTACTAATTTATGTCGATGATCTCCTTCTAGCGTGTCAAAACAAAACGGACCTGATGCAGATCAAGTCAAAGATAGCTTCGAAATTTGAATGTGTGGACAAAGGGCTGCTAAGCATGTTTTTGGGCATGCAAATTGAACGCGAAGGCGAGTTGGGCAGTATAACGATGAACCAGACGTTATATATCAAGGATATGCTGCAGCGACATGGTCTGGAGCAGTGCAGGCAGACAGCGACACCCTTAGACCCAGGATTTCAGGTGGTATGCAACAACGAGCATTGCGTTGCTCAGGATCCAACTGCATATCAGTCTGCTATAGGAGAATTAATGTGGCTAGCATTAACCTCAAGGCCAGATATTTACCATGCTGTCGTAAAGCTGGCACAACGAAATAAGGATCCTCATGATGAACATGTTTTGGCCGTCAGCCATGTAATGCGGTACTTGGCAGGAACGGCCACCAACAAGTTGAGCTATTGCGCAGGAGATTCGGCATTAGTGGGCTACGTTGATGCCGACTGGGCCGGCGACGCCAGCCACCGACGATCGTATACAGGATATGTTTTCCTTTTATCAGGAGGACCCGTTTCTTGGAAGTCGGAAAAACAGGACAGTGTTGCCCTCAGTAGCACGGAGGCAGAATACATGGCGCTGTCATCAGCTGTAAAAGAGGCTTTACATTTGAGACGTTTAATCATCGAGATCGGTTGTGGAAGCAAGGATACTCCCACAATCCTCTACGGAGACAATCTCAGCGCTCAGAACTTGGCAAAAAATCATGCACGTTCGAAGCATATAGATATAAGGTATCATTTTGTTAGGGAAGTTATCCAGCTAGGTGATGTTAAATTGAATCATAAATTGTATCAACCCACGATATGATAGCCGATATGTTAACTAAAACTTTGCCAAAACTGAAACATGAGAAATTGATTAAGCTTATGAATATTATGTAAATATTATATTGATAAACATTTATAATGGTAACATTGAGGAGAGGTGTTGAAATTAGTTCCAATGTTCCCATTTATTAACATATGTATGTAAAC